ATCAGGCTGAAGCTGCGGCCGCTGAGGATCTACATGCTAGTGGCAGGGATTGTCAGTCCTAGCTACAAATGACAATTGTAGTCATTCAATTACTGATCAATCTTGATTTTTATTTTGTTTCTCCAGTTTTGAACAGTGAGAGTATACCCAACTCCGTGGTATCCACTGAACACCATCAAATGATACACGTAGTGGTGGCTGGTATGGTCAATGCAGGCAAGACGTCGCTGGCCAAGGCTGTGCTCAATATCAAACCAGGCGATACACGGGCTGTAGCTCAGTCACTGGTGGTAGGGTATGTGGGGGGTGTTGGTCTGTCGATGCTATTTCTGGGACTATGTGCTTGTCTCAATACATGTCTTGGTATGTGTGTATGTTTTAAAATTCATGATGTATGTCAAAGTATCACGGGATTTCGATTTATCGTCTGGTGTGTATCCTCTATAGCCAGTCTTAAAAAGGGCATTCGACGACGATAGGGCAGTAGCTTTATCGCTATTGGTATGTTCAGTTTTTACTAGAGTTATGAACCCAGTGTCGCTATATGTTGCAACAGCACCACCTTTAAGCTGTACACTCTGGACTGGTATGCTTTTGCTGACAAATTACGCACAATACACCAGTATATATAATCCCGTTAAAACGCCGCTGACAAGCTGCACAATCCACATTTAGTATACCGGTTAACAGCACTTCTAATACGTTATACGCTCTGCACTATACCGGGTGCGTAGCTATGGTAACATGGCAGAGAAGCCTACAGGCGCGGTCAGAGTGGAAGGGGACCAGAGCGTGGTGTTGTATGATCTCAGAGGGGAAGACATGATGCACGGCCGGTGGACCCAGGGAGCCCCAGAGGAGATGGACATTGGATTGTTTGTAGTAGAGGGCAGTGCCAATTCAAACAACCTGCAGCTCTATAGAGAGCTACAGCGACGGTGTAAACAGGTTGTGCGGATGGCTGATAATGTTTGTGGGATTACTTGTAGCGGCGCATGCCGGGTAAACTGCATAGCGGACCGCGTGTCTATACTAAGTGTGTGTGTGTGTGTAGTTGTGTGTGAGAGTATTATGTATATATATATATATATATATATATATATATATATATATATATATATAGTGTCGTCGTCGTCGTCGTCGTAGTAGTAGTAGTACGTACGTACGTACGTACG